TGAAACTTCGCTTGGTTATGCGTAGCCGAGGTGGCTGTTCTAACGATGGTTCCAGGCAAGTTCTGGCGCTTCCACTTGCTTCGACTCTCTCTTGTGTGCCATTGGGATAATGAAGGATGTAGGAGCTTGGGGATCTTGAAGGCAACCTGCAATCAACAACCATCAGTTTCATCCTTGTCTCATCGTGGCCAGGGCAGCTCTTGGCTATCCCAGGAAACCTGATCACGGGGTACCTTTCCAAACGCCGATGTCCCCAGAGAGAGGAACGTGTGGTGTGATCAAGGGATATCAAGGGCTCAAATAGGAGTAGCTATAGTAACTGGTCAAATTTTGATACATTCGCCATGCCATGGTTTCAAGATGTTCCAAGTAGCATTAAAATTTCCGCCTCGCAGCGATGAGGTGGGGGACCGCTCTATCTTTTGAGACGACTTGCAAGCAGCTCAGTGCATTTCCATGGCTTGCGGCATTGATTCATAGAATTGGATGATGGGAAAATATACAGGAAAGCCCTATATTTGATGGTAAAAACCATGGTTTCCTGTAGATTTTCCCTTAAATCAATCCAATGATTGATGCGGCTTTTCGGGACCGGGACCTTGGGACCTTGGAGAGGTGCCCATCGCCTCGATCTTGGTGACCGTGGGTGCCTTTATGGCCCAGGCGGCCATGGCGGCAGTCATCAGATTTCCATGACATTTCCCATGGGTTCTGTCATGTTCTGTCAATTCTTCTGCCTATCTATGATGAAATCATATGAAATCCAAGTCTTGGGCCAGATGCAGAACTAAGTGCTGGTTTGGTGCCTGTCTCAGGTGCAGCAGTTCTGGTTCATTGCGGTGACAGCCGGCATCTTACCTCTGCTTTCGATGCAGTAAACGACCCCGAGTGATTTTCTACAGAGAATCTCTTACTGGTGCTTAGTAGGGAATTTTCGGGAATGATTCACAATATAGTAACTATCAATAACTATCAATAATCATCCCAGCAACCCCCAGCAACCCATCCATTCCCTGGGTTTTTAGCACCAGTTGACCATCGCCATGGCCATTCCTGCGATTCCACGAGGTGATTTGTTTGAACTACGCTGGTCTGCCCAATGTGCCATTGATGCGCTTGGTGTCTGGGTCGGAGCACTCAAAACAGATAGCGCTGATGGATGGTGATGGTTCATTCGTCAGCACTCTAAGTGTTGATGTTAAAGAATTGATGGTCGTTTTAGCGCTGAGTTTAAAATCTCCTCTCAGGCTGGCCCCTCCTGGTCGTGTTGGCGAGGCGTGGCCAGTATGTGTTTGTGGCTTCGCGAACCTCTGCACCCATCAGACTTTACCAAAGATGACTGGCAGCAGTTCATTCAGCTAGCGAAAGCAGGTGCACAGAATCCCTTCAGTCAGTTTGAGTTGATTCCTTGCCAGTCCTTGAGCGCAATCGGCATAGCAGCACAACTAGCAAGCCTCATTGGCAATGTTGGGACCTTTGCCAGGGAATACAGCTCACATCACATCCAAGGATAAAAAAAAATATTTGCTCATGCAAGCAAAACATCATGAATGGGTTTGGACAGCAGGAACACCACTGGAATGCTCTTGGGCTTTCGTAGGCCCTTACACATTTTTGATCACTGTAGCAATTCCTTGACTATTCCCTGGTCTTTGGCTTGGTGTCGTGATTTCATGACTCTGAAAAGCGACAAGACTTCCAAAAGGTTAAAATTACATTGCAAAGTCAGTTTCAAAGCAACTTATGTGTGTGTATATATATATGTATGTGTGTCTAGATAATTCTAGATACGCACATGGAATTTCATGTGTTTTTCCGATCTGATGTCACAGTGCTCTGTGGAACATTTCAGATGAGGCTGCAGTGGTGGTCATCAACCACCACTTGATGGGAACGGCCATGGCGAATCCGCTGTGGAACCTTGGCAAAGATGCTTGAGCCAACATCAAATCGAACTACACCCTGAGACTCTGAGGATTTAGGGTAAGCAACTCTGAAGCAGTGTTGTGCCAATATGTGCCATCTACATCCAATTCTTCTTGTCACATCCGAGGATCTATTACCCTATTTGTGGCACACTGACCCTCATGGCAATCCTGCCGATCCGTGGGTTTGGGGGCCCAAAGTCACCATGGAGGATTTTCCGACCTGTCCTGTTGCAATATTGCAAATATACCGAAAAATCTCATGACACACACAAATATAACATATATAAATAAAATTTGATGAGATATATTTATATTTAATGATGTATATATATAGTGACATTAATTTATCTAATGATACATATAATGATATATATATATATAATGATAAATACATATATTCAATGATATATATATATAGTGATAATATATATATATATAGTGACATAAATATATAATGATATATATACATAATCATATATATATATATCACGATGTGTATATATATATATATTGAACTATATATATAATGATATATTTATAATGATATATTTCTCATGATATACATATATACAATGGTATGTATATATATATATACGTATAATGATATATATATATACATAATCATATATATATATGTAGTGATTTATATAAAATTATATATATATAAATAATGATATATATAATTATATAACGATATATATATAGATATTTGTAATGATCTATAATATAAATATATTTAATAATAAATATACACTGGTTTATATATATAAAATACATATATTTATACATATATTTAATTGTTTAATTTTTTCTACATATATTTAATGATACATATTTTTATACATATATTTAATGATATATATATATAGTGATACATATATATTTATAGTGATGTATATATATATATATTTATGTATATTTTTTATGATATATATAATTTATGATTTTTGTATGTAATGATATATATATACATAGTTAATGATATGTATATACTGTTATAAAAATGTATGTGTAATGATATATATAGTTTTTGATGTTTTTATGTAATGATATATATATATACATGTATATATATATGTATATATATGTATATATATATGTATATATATATATATGTATATATATATATGTATATATATAATGACATATATATATATAATGACATATATATATACATATAATGACATATTTATATATCCAATGATATATACAATATATAGTTTATTGATGTATATATGTAATGATATATATTTAATGATATGTATATATAAAATGATATTTAGGTAATGATATATATATATATATTCAAACTGATATATCTATATATTTATATTGATATATATATATATAATGATATGTATTCACACATATATCACTTGTATATTATTTATTTATGTATCTCTTGATATGCATGGTATCTCGCCGTATCTCTTGTTGATCTTGCTGTTTAAATGAGTTCAAGACACTGCCGTGCCACACGCCAAAGTCTTGTAGGTTTCGCAACTGTTTCGCATGATTTGCCGTAAACCTATCCACCGTTAATGCACCGAACTATAAAATACGACACACACATGATTGATAGAAAAACTGATTCGGATAATATCTCTTTAACGTGCACGTATATACATGTATATATATATATATTTAAATACATATACATATACAATATGATTAATATAATAGACTATACATGTAATTTGATTTTGCAATGTACAGTGAGACACATCGCAAAGGCCGCAGCCTAACACGATTCTGTAACGCAAGACACAGGTGTTCTGAGCTCCGAGTTGAGGACTCCTTATGGTGGCTGGGGTGCTGCTTCAGGCATTCGCCAGGAGGGGCTTTGAAATGTTCGCAGACAGGGCCCCAGGTTCTGGGAGGTCTGCGTGAGTTTTCAGTGTGGCCTCTACGACTTGTATTCCTTGTGCCTTTGTGGGGGTCCAGCCAAAGCACGATTTGCCTCTTTGGTTCTGTAATGTTCTGAGATCGAAATTCTTTGGAAATTTTGGAGATTGTGGAGATTCTCGAGCTGATCGCCACAGTCAGCTGTCAGCAGGGAACAACTGGAGCTGTTGATCTTCCGAATTACTCTTTTCCTTTTGAGGGCTGAAAAGAGGCCTAGATTTGGTCTATCGACACGTCACCCGAATTAAACTGATGAAGGGTATAGGAAGGGTAAAATGCTGTTCTTGCGTTATGGTTTTCCTTTGATGATGAAAGCAGGACCAGTGGGTTGCCGTGGTCTTCGCACATGTGGCGCAACAGCGCTGGCGCAAAGAAATAGCCAGGCGGAAGGCAGGAGAGCTCGGAGAGCTGGGATGAGAGCACATCATAGTTACGTCATTATGAGTTGGTTACGTCATACGTCGTCATACGTCGTCACACGTAGTTCCGTCAAGTTGTCACAAGTTGTCAGTCGTTGTCAGAAGCTGTCATAGTACGTTGGATGTATCCATTGGATGTACATTGGATGTATCTTGGAATATGTGGGTACAAACTTCTGTGCCTTTCCGTGCACTCTGCCTTAACGCGCAAGGTCATTCTGCACTTCGTCCATCCTTTCTCACACTAGTACATGATGAAACTACTGGATTTTTTTTTCTAGAGACTACATTGACCAAAGGGTACTCCAATAGAAGGCGTTTGATACTATGTCCAGGCCTGCTTACATGATGGTGATGAGGTGTACCAGTGATACTCCATTTGCATCAATTTGCATCATGTGATGTTGCTGAAAGAGCACTGCACAGCAGCTCTCAGCCACCTTAGTCAAGGGCTTGCGAGCTGAGCGATGAAAGGCAGCGAGTGAACGCCCAGTGTTCCAAGCGTAGCTGAGCTACTCCACTGCCCTGACTGGCTTGCCTTGGCCAGCGCTGTCAGAGCTTGGATTCCACGATGCAGTGACTCTGTTTTTTCTTGCGATGTTTGAATGGGCTGTGCAATGAGCAATGCGGTGATGCAAACACGCAGTGATGCAGAGCATCGAATCGCGTCGGAAAATACGCCGCGGCAAAGAACATGTGTCGAATACGTGTGCGCTGCAGTGCTCAGAGTTGTGCTCGTCTTCGTAAGTGACCACTTTGAAGTGCACGTTTTCAGTGCACCTTTTTGATGCCTTTCTTGATTGTATTCCACGCCATGAACCAGCACTGTTTTTTTTTTTTGTGTTGGTATTATTTTTTCGTAGACTGAACCCTTTCGTAGAAAGACCATTCACCATGACTCCCAATGATACCCTGAAAAACCATTCTGAACGGCACACTGCAGAGGGGCATGTAGCATGTACACGGCCTATACGCATATTTCCGCAGACGTTTTTGCAGAGAAAGAGATCAGACGCGACGTGAACCGACTTTCTCAATTCAGGACCCGGTAGAATGTGGCAAGTGAGGTCATTTTGCTTCAGCAAAAAAAGTCACTCCATGTCACTCCATGTCACTCCAATTCCAAGGAAAGTCCAGGTTCTGCCAAAGCAAATGGGGAAAAGTTCTGGTTGCAAGGAGAAAATGGTGGAATTTGGTCTCGTGGATGAGATCATTGTCCCCTCCTGCATCATAGGCCTTTTTTTGCTTCAGTCTGAAGCACACTCACAAATACAGAATATTGCAGATGTTGAAGGAAAATTCAACATGAAGCAGCGTTGCAACATGTTGCAACTATCGACCATCACGATTGATTTTTGAGATTTTTAGGATAATCAGGGTGCTCCGAAAGATCCCAACCCAGATTTTGGCAGCAGTCGCAGTCGGTAGTCGGTCATGATTCAATCCGTAGCAGCCGTGTTCACTGGTCATTCACCAGGCCTGTTGGCAGCCTTGGCACAGTTTTTGATCATCAGGCGACGACCTGGCTGTACGGATGGCTGTACCTGGCTTCTCTCTGATTCGGGGTGAAAAACATGGTGCAACACAAGGATTTTTGAATTCGGGGTGTTGGCATTTGCCTCCGATATGAAAAAAAATCCTTTTGGCCCATGTCAGATTGGCAGGAAAATCTCTTTGGACCCAGAGAAGCAGGCTTTTTGTGGGGGGAGTGGTAAGGAGCAGATATCATGGCAGAAGTCCTGCAAGAAATGCTGTGGCGTTTAGTGGATGTGACTGGCGTTTGGACTGATTGAATTAGCAGATCAACAGGCAGACAAGACACCCTTTTCGTAGTTTTTCTAGGTGACTGGAAGATAGAATTGGAATGAATTGGACATATACCACACACACAGCGAAGTCTCTCACAAACAGAATGCAAGATCTAGAAGTGTTCAGTCAGCTTCATGCTCACCCAGAAGAAACGCTCCACAGCTTCAGGGCCTTTCGACGTCTCTGACTTCTGGGGTTTCTTGAATTCAGCGGAAGTGCGAGGATTTAGAAGCGATGGAATTGCATTTGTTTGGCTGCAGACGTCTCCAAAGACCCAAGAACAGGGTTTCTTTGGGGTGTGAAAATTGTGAAGATTGTGAACTGAGTACCGAAGTAGCTGGTGTGGTGTACTGTGTGTACTGTGGTTCTCTGTTGAATTGCCGGTTTTGAGAAAGATCACCCACGAAAATGGTCGACGGGAAGGAGTGGTTTGATCCAACTGAGGAAGCGCCAGAGAAGCTTGTCCCAGAGATCTATGCCAAGTGACTTGCCTCCGATCAATGTCAATTTAACTGTGTACAGTTTGAGTATGTTAAATTTCACGCTCCTGATCTTTTTTTTTGTATGCAGAGTGCTTGGTAAATCTTTGATTTTTCTTGATCACCCCATTGGGCCCATGGATTCCAGAACCGTGTCATAGCTGCAACAGGATCATGGATGGAGCCATCCAGTTTTTGAAGGCAGGGATTGAGAGATTTGATAGGGTGATAATGGTGATAGCTGCGAAGAAAGAGGCTGAAGGAAAGGGTACTGTAAAGTGGGTAAAAGGCTTTTGTGGCGGCTCCCATTTTCTTTGAGAATCTTGATACAGGTCCGATGTGTCTAACTGTTACACCTGATTTTTCCTGAGTGATTTTTCGCGATGCTGCCCTTGTCAAAGTTTCAAGGCCTGCTTTCTGCAACACATCGGTGTTGCAGCGGGTTCCAAGATGTGTGATTTGGCTTTACCCTCTGGTAAACTAACATAGCTATGGAAGCCATGGCCCATAGAAATAGATGGTTTACCTATTAAAGATGGTGATTTTCTATAGCTATGTTAAATTACCAGAGGGTACTTTGGCTTTACCGCACTGGTGCCTCAATCTGCAGATGCTTCATGTTTCATCATGTTTCTGGATCCGCCAGGTGGAATATGCCATTTGCACCTTGTTCTGCCTTGCCTTCTCGCTTGTCATATACTTCTTGGTGTCCGGGCCCTAAATAAAGGTCCAAGATGTCCATACGCAGGGGACATGAGCATTATGAGCATCATGATTCATAGGGGAAACATGGGGAAACAGTGAAATTTTCTCTACCATCCTCTGATGTTCTACCTGTTCTGCCAGAATCTGCCAGAAGGCGATCGAAAAAACGCCACCGGACTCTGGTGTCTGAGTCACTGAGGTCCTGGGGAACACACAGCTCAACGCAGGGCGGGCTCACTGCTGGTGCTTTCTTGACAGGCGCGGTGAACTCCGGGGGATCTTGGGTGGATCTTGTGCTGTGGGGGCTGTGGCCACGGGGATGAAACTGGGCGCTGCAAGGTGCCTTCACTTCCATGTTGTGTGGTTTCCTCGGCATGATGGTTGCTACCTACTCCAATGCGCGAACCACTTTGGCATGTGCCAAGAAGGCTGTGGGCAATCGGAACGATGCTCTTCTCGAGAAAAACACATATTTTATAAACATCAGAAGCTTTTCGTGATGCATGTGCTACAGAAAGTGGTTCTGAGATGCTCTGAGTCCTGGACTTTTTTTTTCTGTCGCCAGATGCATCCAAAAGATTCTCAATTGCTGGAGGGGTTCAACAGTACTGTGCTGCAAATCCAGAGCGAAGCGCCAGGGCTATACTGAGGGCTTCAACACCGCTTTCCGCGGAGGTAGTGTCATGGGCTACGCCTTGTGCTCTTTGGGTGTGCTCGTGCTCTGGATTTTGCTGACCGTCTACCGCAAGGCGCGCTCTGGGTGGCAGAAAAACGATCCGATCGAGGCTGCAGTAGCGGTTCTCTAAATCGCTCCATTTCATCACAGCAGACTGAAAGCATTGTACAGCAGTATATCCGGATTTTTTTCTTATATCAGTATCTATAGTATCTCCCATTTTTTTCCATGACCTGATCTAATATCAGGAAAATTTGATATCCAATTTTTATATCCAATTTTTCTTTACTCTCAGTTTATATTACAGTATCTGTACTGATCACGTCTCCCTGATCTCCAGATACCCTCTGGTAAACAAACATAGCTATGGAAAATCACCATTTTCAATGGGTAAATCCACTATTTCTATGGTCATTTTCAATAGCCAACTGTTAGTCATTACCAGGCCGGGTATCACCGGTGCAGCCTCCAGGTCTACCCAGAAGCAAATGACTGGGAGATGCTTTTCGATTGCGCTGCTGGTTATGGTCTTGGCGGCAGCACAGTGGCCATGTTCGGTCGTGTGGGTGGTGGCATCTACACGAAGGCAGCAGATGCCTTAGATCGTTGCAGTCGATTGTTCCAAAAAGCATTGTATAATTATTGATTCATATTGAAATATAGTAATATAATGCATTATAATTATGTAATATATGGTATATTTAGTATATTCTATGAATATTCCTCAATTGACTTGAAATCTATTTCTTTCATTGGAGCAAGAGAACATGAAACAGCAGAGGCTTGGCTATTTGTGTCATTTGCTGTGACCTGCATGGCTCAAGCGATCGCTCACAACTGAGGCTGATGTGGGTGCTGACCTTTGCGGCAAGGTGCTGCGGTGGAATTCATTGTTTTGATTCGACAAAAGAGGTTCCATTTGTGTATACATATACAGAATACATATACATACAGACACACAGACATACAGACATACAGTCATACAGACATAGATAGTAGATAGATAGATAGATAGATAGAGATATCGATAGAGAATTAGATAGAGATATAGATAGAGATATCGATAGAGATATAGATAGAGACATAGATAGAGATATAGATAGAGATATAGATAGAGATATCGATAGAGATATAGATAGATATACAGATAGAGATATCGATAGAGATATAGATAGAGATATAGATAGAGATACAGATAGAGATATCGATAGAGATATAGATAGAGATATAGATAGAGATATAGATAGAGATATAGATAGAGATATAGATAGAGATATAGATAGAGATAGAGATATAGATAGAGATAGATAGAGATAGATAGATAGAGATAGATAGAGATAGATAGAGATAGATATAGATAGATAGAGATAGATATAGATAGATAGAGATACAGATAGGGAGAGATAGATACAGATAGATACAGATAGATACAGATAGATACAGATAGATACAGATAGATACAGATAGATACAGATAGATACAGATACTGTAGATACAGATAGATACAGATAGATACAGATACTGTAGATACAGATAGATGCAGATAGATGCAGATAGATGCAGATAGATGCAGGTAGATGCAGGTAGATGCAGATAGATACAGATAGATACAGATAGATACAGATAGATACAGATAGATACAGGTAGATACAGATAGATACAGATAGATACAGATAGATACAGATAGGTACAGATAGATACAGCTAGATACAGCTAGATCCAGATAGATACAGGTAGATACAGATAGATACAGATAGATACAGATAGATACAGATAGGTACAGATAGATACAGCTAGATACAGCTAGATCCAGATAGATACAGCTAGATACAGCTAGATCCAGATAGATCCATAGATCCATCCATCCATCCATACTACATACGTACATACCTACATACCTACCTACCTACATACCTACATACCTACATGCATGCATGCATGCATCCATCCATCCATCATACGTACATCCATCATACGTACATCCATTATACGTACATCCATCATACGTACATCCATCATACGTACATCCATCATACGTACATCCATCCACACATACATCCATACATGCATACATGCAACCATGCATACATGCATACATGCATCCATGCATCCATGCATCCTTGCATCCGTGCATCCGTGCATCCATGCATCCATGCATCCATGCATCCATGCATCCATGCATACATGCATCCATGCATCCATGCATCCATGCATCCATGCATCCATCCATCCATGCATACATGCATACATGCATACATGCATCCATGCATCCATGCATCCATGCATCCATGCATCCATGCAGCACCCATGCATCCATGCAGCACCCATGCATCCATGCATCCATGCAATCATGAATCCATGCATCCATGCATGCATGCATCCATGCATCCATGCATCCATGCATTCATGCATCCATGCATCCATGCATCCATCCATCATACATGCATACATACCTACATACATGCATGCATACATGCATGCATGCATGCATCCATGCATCCATGCATCCATGCATCCATGCATCCATGCATCCATGCAACCATGCATACATGCATCCATGCATACATGCATCCATGCATCCATGCATCCATGCATCCATGCAACCATGCATACATGCATCCATGCATCCATGCATCCATGCATCCATGCATCCATGCAACCATGCATACATGCATCCATGCATCCATGCATCCATGCATCCGTGCATCTGTGCACCCATGCATCCATGCATCCATGCATCCGTGCATCCATGCGTCCATGCATCCATGCATCCATGCATACATCCATCCATGCATCCATGCATCCATCCATCCATCCATGCATCCATGCATCCATGCAACCATGCATCCATGCAACCATGCATCCATGCATCCATGCATCCATGCATCCATGCATCCGTGCATCCATGCATCCATGCATCCATGCATCCATGCATCCATGCAACCATGCATACATGCATACATGCATCCATGCATCCATGCATCCATGCATCCATGCATCCGTGCATACATGCATCCATGCATCCATGCAACCATGCATCCATGCATCCATGCATCCGTGCATCCGTGCATCCATGCATCCATGCATCCATGCATCCATGCATACATGCATACATGCATCCATGCATCCATGCATCCATGCATCCATGCATCCATCCATCCATGCATACATGCATACATGCATACATGTATCCATGCATCCATGCATCCATGCAGCATCCATGCAGCACCCATGCATCCATGCATCCATGCATCCATGCATCCATGCATCCATGCATTCATGCATCCATGCATCCATGCATGCATGCATACATACATACCTACATACCTACATACTTACATACATACATGCCTGCATGCATACATCCATCCATCATACATGCATACATACCTACATGCATGCATGCATGCATACATGCATACATGCATCCATGCATCCATGCATCCATGCATCCATCCATCCATCCATCCATGCATACATGTATACATGCATACATGCATCCATGCATCCATGCATCCATGCAACCATGCATCCATGCATCCATGCATCCATGCATCCATGCATCCATGCATCCATGCAACCATGCATACATGCATCCATGCATCCATGCATCCATGCATCCATGCATCCATGCAACCATGCATACATGCATCCATGCATCCATGCATCCATGCATCCGTGCATCCGTGCATACATGCATACATGCACCCATGCATCCATGCATACATGCATCCACGCATCCATGCATCCATGCATACATGCATCCATGCATCCATGCATCCATGCATCCATGCATCCGTGCATCCGTGCGTTACATGCATACATGCACACATGCATCCATGCATCCATGCATCCATGCATCCATGCATCCATGCACACATGCATCCGTGCATTACATGCATCCATGCACACATGCATACATGCATCCATGCATCCGTGCATACATGCATACATGCATCCATGCATCCATGCCTCCGTGCATCCGTGCATTACATGCATCCATGCACACATGCATCCATGCATCCATGCATACATGCATCCATGCATCCGTGCATCCGTGCATTACATGCATCCATGCATACATGCATCCATGCATCCATGCATCCATGCATCCGTGCATACATGCATCCGTGCATACATGCATCCATGCATCCATGCATCCATGCAACCTTGCATACATGCATCCATGCATCCATGCATCCATGCATCCGTGCATACATGCATCCATGCATCCATGCAACCATGCATACATGCATCCATGCATCCATGCATCCGTGCATACATGCATCCATGCATCCATGCATCCATGCATACATGCAACCATGCATCCATGCATCCATGCATCCATCCATCCATGCATGCATCCATACATACATACCTACATACATATATTATATGTGTTTGTGTTTGTATGCAATAGGTTGTTTCGTTGTTAGCTGATCTGCGTTCAGAGGTCGTGCCATGGTGAGGTCGTTGCTGGCTTGGATGAGGATGATCCCAACAACCCAGCGACCATCGCTGACAACGTGCCATGGCAATCCATGGCATGGATTTTTGTGAAGCCTTCGCTGATTTTTTTAATAAAACCATGACAATCGATTGCAATGAAAAATGTCCATCAAAGATATTCAGGTGTCACGTTTATGGAGAAAAATTAGTGCCCGTTTTTGAGACGTATTTTAGGGGATTTTAAGTGATTCTTTCTGATTTGCGAAAAAAACAATCAGGTGGGTGACAACGTGGGTGACATTGCTGGTATGGGTGCAGACTTGTTTGGCTCCTTCGCAGAGAGCACCTGTGCTGCGTTGGTCATCGCTGCTGCGGCCGTGGAGCACTCCAACAACACACTGTCTGCTGCTGGCTGGGACGAAGCTTGACGACTTTAAAGGGAGTCGATGTAAAGGTCCATGTAGGTTAGCTACATAATTATACAATATTACACAATATATATATAACTCATAGAACTAGATATATCATTGATCCATTTATTAAATTTATTATAAAGACCGGTGTTACATGAGACTCCGCATGTCTCCGCGAAAGTTTTTCTTCTGAGTTCGCGAACGTTTTTTTTTTTTTTTTTCGAAAGATTTGGCGACAGTTTTATTTTAATGAGGTGGTTTATCATATTGTTTTTATTCGGGAAGTGAGAACCTTCTGAACTGTGAATGGCAGGGAGACAGTAGACCCATGAATGTATAGAGAATTACGGTAAGATGGCGTACACAAAACGATGCATTTATGCCATCCAAGAGGCGTTCATTCCCTCACTGTGTCCTGTTGCTTATGATGGCATTCTAGGAAGCCCCCCCCCTTCTGTGTGCCATCATAAGTAAAGACACCAAAACTATCTAAAACTATCTAAAACCATCCAAAACTAGTGCCGCTATTCCCCGCATCAGTTGAAAGCGGGGTGTGCCATCTTAGTGTGACTCTCCATATGCAAGAAGTATGCACTTGTCTTGGATTGGAAAAATTCCATGTATGTTTTGGGCACCTTTGCTGCGTCAAGGGAGCCTGGAAACAACGAAACCCTTCGATGTTTTTCGGGTGGAACTGTCCCAACATGGCCTTGTATTTGCCCTTGGCCCCCAGATCAGTCACATAGTTGCCGCTAAAAAACGCAGTTTTTTCAGTGTGTCTCAGCAGCACAATAATAGTGGATAATAAAAAACTGGATAAGCATAACTAGCATAACCTCTTAAAAGAAGAACGAGGAGTCGAGGAGTCTTTCGCGCAAAAGCACCGAGTTTTTATCCGCGTAGGGTGGATGTACTGCGCCACCCTTTGACATAATTTGACCCACACCACTCGTGCCATCGTGACATATCGTGACCATCCGATACAATCCGTGAAGTCACCTGAAATCACTATCTTCCAAGGCGATGCTGAAAAAACCCGGCTTTTTTCTGGCTGTAAACCAGACAATGGGATACAGTTGCAATAGGAAACAGAATGACAGAATATGATATAATATGATAGAAGAGGGACGAGCTCGAACATCTGTGGCTGGAGGCGATGCTCTTCCCCGTGTCCATCTCTGCTGCCGGTATCGTTATTTGGCTTCAATATCGCAGTCGGAGAATGAGAAACATTTTATGATTTTCATGAAATGTTTAGCTGTTTAGCTGGTTCCTTTCTGATTTTGGTCCCTTTTGGTTTTGTTGTTTTTCAGCTTTGGACTGAACCAAACTGCACCGTGGCAAACTTGCAAACTGCACATTCAGGTGATTTGCATCCTTTGCGGATTCGTTGCGACAAATGTGGCTCCCGTGAAGGCAAGACATAAAAAAATGACCGAGAAACCATGAGAAATTTTCAGAAAATATGTCGTATATGTCAAAGCATTTGTCAAAGTACCCTCTGGTAAACGTTTACGTAACTATGGAAAATCACCCTGCTATTAATGGGTAAATCCACTATTTCGACTGGGCCATTTTCTATGTCGCAAACTGTAAACGTTTCCCAGGCCGGGTATGTCAAAGTCAGTTTTTCAGAGATTTGCTCCTCAGGTGGAGGCCGACATCGAACGTGTCTTGAAGGTCCAGATGGTCCTGACAGCCCTTCTCATGTTGCCAGTGATCTACTATTTGGCAGTGCCTTGATTGTGGCATGAAAAAAGCCAATCTGGTGGTGACTGGAACATGAATGGATGACATGACTTTCCAGAAACAGTTGGGAATGGAATGTCATCATCCCAATTGACGAACTCACTCCATCATTTTTCAGAGGGGTAGGTTGAAACCACCAACCAGCAAAATTCTCACGGTTTTGTTTAGCAGTTTGGAGACTTCCTAAAGTCCTACAGTCCTACAGGTCCTGCTGCTGCCGGAGCACTTCCGTTTGGAAGGTGTGCGCCTCACCGAAGATGGCAGCCAGGCAAAGATCCACGGCACTCCTTTCAAGGCGTGGGTTCGTTTCGCAGATTTGGCACGTCTCATGATGCCCATGAGCACTATCACTAAGATCTCTAAGTCAGTATATACATTAATATGTATGTGTATATATATATATACATACATATGTAATGTAATGTAATGTAATGTAATGTAATGTAATGTAATGTAATGTAATGTAATGTAATGTAATGTAATTAATGTGATATCGATAATATCCAGTTCATTCCAGTTGTTACAATTACTATCTACATTCGAGGGAAGATTACCCAAGTTTCTTGAAAACTCATCAGGTGTCAAGGGATGGACATCGTAGGCCATGCCAGGCATTCATTTGCGCCACGATGGGGTGCGTTGGTGGACTCATCATCGGTCTGGTGACAGAGCATCTTTTTTCTGCACTGAGGAAAATGTGAGTCTGTGAGTTTTCAGATTACCCTCTGGTAATTTAACATAACTATGGAAAATCACCATTTATAGTGGATTTTCCCATGATTTTCCATAGTTATGTCAGTTTACCAGAGGGTAGATGAACAATGATGAACACACATTAATAATCATGAAGTCACTTGTTGGATTTTTGCGATTGCTTGTTCTCCATGTTTATTCTTCATGACGACATGACTTTGACCTGCTGGCATGGTTTTTTGGTTGCGATGTTTTTTTTTTGTTTCGCTCAGGTACTTCACTTCTCACTCTTTCATCCCCACTCGTGAGTTGGCCTCTGCCTGCAAGTTTGGCACGGCCGTCAACATCATCCAGGGTCCCGTGGCTGCCCATATTTTTCAAGATGTTGACCTTGGATGTCTGGCAGTAATGACTTTGGTTATGGAAGTCATGGTGCGAGTTGAACACCTGAGTTCTGCTGGTGAGGTCTTGCATTGGGCTACAAGAGCTGCATCATCCCAGTCTTCGTGCTTTCCTCCGCCATTTTTGTGTCCTTCCAGCTTTGCGATCTGCAACTTGACTGCGTGGAAGGGTGTGGAACTCTGGGAGTGCAGGATGAATCACATGGTTTGTCAATTGCTTCTTTTGGATAGTTCCAAACAACATGAATGTCCGCAGCTTGAGTTGTGCGGAGCCATGCGGAGCCACTGCCTGGGTTTTACTTCTTCTGAACTGACTCATGGGGACAGTCAACAACGACAGCAACAACAAAAATCCCAAAGACGACGACAACGACGCTGATGACAACGACAAAGACGAAGACCACAGCGACAACAACAACGACAACAGCAGCAGCAACAACAACAACAGCAACAACAACAACAACAGCAACAACAACAGCAGCAGCAGCAACAACAACAACAGCAGCAGCAGCAACAGCAGCAACAACAGTGACAAGAACGTCAATGGCAGGGACAACAGAGTCGCCCCAATTGGAAGCCCCAATGTTCAGCATGGCATCAGTGGTGATGGCGACGGGTCATCCAGGGGGTCGGGGTCCAACTTTTTTTTGGTGCCAGCTCTGTGCAAGAAATGCACTGTGCTATCACTTTGTGAAACGTTTTTTTGCCATCAAACTTCATTGTTAATACGTCATAAGTATTCATCAGTCATAATTATAAATGTATTAGTTTTTTTTGTGCATCATTATTCTGGGTTACGTGTTTTGACAGGCAGTGCGCCGCCAGGGCAGGTATGTATGATTATGTATGTCAGTGCCTGATAGAAATCAATAGAATAATTGAGAATAATTGAGAATAATTGAGAATCATTGAGAATAATTGAGAATAATTGAGAATAATTGAGAATAATTAATAGTCATTAATCATCCATAGATACCCGTACGTAGTGTTCTTCCAATGTTTGTCATGCCTTTTCCAAAACATTGCTACTGTCTGTGCCACGCAAGGTACGGTATTGCCCTGGCAGCTCTTGGCATGCTGGCAACTCTGAGTTGCGGTTTGACCATCGATGGCTTCGGCCCAATCAGCGACAACGCTGGCGGCATTGCGGAAACTTGTTTCAATATGCTTCGAGGCGCAATGTCGATATTTGTAAAGAGACTATATTCTGGCCATAATGGTATTGAAATGTATTGAAATGATGCAGAATGAATTCGATCATCACAATTGCTGATTTCGGGGAGGTAGCGGCCACTGCGGCCACTGCTGAGGAGATGGCCCTTTTCAACCCAGAGGTGCGTCGTCGCACTGATGCTCTTGACGCTGCGGGCAACACGACTGCCGCCATTGGCAAGGCATGTGATCCACTGTGATTCCAGTCACCTTGCCAGACGGAAATCTCAGAGATACTCGTACAGTATAGATCAGTATAGTATCTGATTGCTGGTTTGGAACATGAATGGATGACATGACTTTCCAGAAACAGTTGGGAATGTCATAATCCCAACTGATCCCAACTGACGAACTCACTCCATCATTTTTCAGTGGGGTAGATTGAAACCACCAACCAGTATATATATATAATAATATATATATATATATTAACCATCATTAATCATATAATAACCATTTTCATAGTAACCATCATATAGTAACAGTATATAATTCCATGCGGCAGCCGTTTCTTTTACGTATTTTTTAACGAACGTTTCCACACCTTCTCCAGTGGAAACAACAGGGATTCGCCATTGGCTCCGCTGCATTGGTGTCCTTGGCGTTGTACGGGGCCTTTGTCATCCGCCTTCGTGTGAAGACTGGCGTGCCTTGACGCCAAAGGCCAAAGGGACTCCCGCTGAATTCGAAGTTCATGACACTATCAAAGTATGATTTATGAAGTATAACATATATACATATATATACACATTATATATAATATATATATATATATATTATTATATATATATGTATATTATTATATTATATATATGGTGTGTCATATTCATCAAAGAGTTTAAAAAACAATTCAGCTGTCAAACTCCTGAGGTGAACATCTTGGAGCCAACCACCTTTGTGCTTCACTCAGTCGTCGTTTCGTGTCGTCGTCGTTTCGTTTCGTGTCGTCGGAGATGGCCACGGCAACGAGGCCTTCCTCATCATCGGCTGCATGATCCCTTACTGGTTTGCCGCCCTGACGATGAAGTCTGTTGGAAAGGCTGAAAGATCTGAAAAGATCTGAAAAGATCTGAAAGTGGAAAAAATTGACCAAATTCACAGATATTCCCAATCGATTGATTGAACTTTGTTCGAGAAATCATTCTACGTAAGAAACGCATGGCTGTTATGGAGACGAAAAAGTGATATACTGTGATACATTGTGGTTATGATGACGACGATGATGGTAATATGATGATGATTATTAGATGATTAGATGATGATTATTAGATTAGATGATTATTAGATGATTATTAGATGATTATTAGATGATTATTAGATGATTATTAGATGATTATTAGATTAGATGATTATTAGATGATTATTAGATTAGATGATTGTTAGATGATTATTAGATTAGATGATTGTTAGATGATTATTAGATGATTATTAGATGATTATTAGATGATTATTAGATGATTATTAGATGATTATTACATGATCACCACGATGACCACGATGACGATGATAACGATGACGAAGAGGATGATCGACGATGACAATGACGATGACGATGATGACAATCATTATTATATATTATTTTTTTAAACATGTTATCAATATGTTTATTATTATTATTGTTATTATATGATTATATATCATTATAATTATCATCAATACCTATCATATGTTCCATTTTATTATTATATCTTACATATACATAGATGACATGTTATGATACAACATACATCATATTATGTTATGATTGCCGCCTGTCCAGGCCTTTTGTAAATCTGGAGTGTGCCAGTGCGCCAGGCAGCCGGTGAAATGGTCGCCGAAGTGAAGAGGTGGCTGAATCCTGTTCCAACCATGCTGGACATCAAATAAGACATGCCCATGATTTATACATAACCGGATTCATTGTATGGGAGATCCAAGTCGGCTTGCCTTGAAAGCAACGTTTTTCGTTGCCTCCTTTTAGCTTACAGCGTCTGTTGTCGCAGTGTCTTTTTTTCGTTTCCCTTAAAACGGTTGAGGAACCACTGCTCAGCTGTCCCATGGCTGATCCAGATCGAGTGCAGGCAATTTAGCAAAGTGGACTCCAAGGGCAAGACGTTGTTGACGGGCAGCACTGAGCTGAAACCCGACAGCAAAACGTGCATCCAAATCAGTACTCAGGCGTGCCGTGTAGTGTCGGGTCCCATGATGTCCGCCCCACGCAGACTGTCCAGGTCTATCAACGTCTATTTTTTGATTGCTACATATTTTTCTTGCTCTGACATTGAACACAGCGATTTGGCGGATTGTTGATCATTGTTCGAGAACTTGTGCGTATCCATATGTGTTCAGATGTAAAAAGGACATTTGCTTGGTAGAGTTTGATCTGTTTGGCTGTTGCTATTCCAGCTGCGTAACGAAGTTCGACTGTACAGGGGCAAAGCATGGCAAAGCTCTTCTGGTAGGCCTCCATTCGAGAGATGGTGGCGCCAGCGTGCCTAGCAAGGAGCTGAGTCACCAAAGTACCAATGACTCTGCAGCCATTTGCAGCCTATTTCGTTTATTCAGAGCTTTCATTTCACTTTCATTTCGCTTTCATTTCGCTTTCATATGTATATTATATATATATAGATGTACAGCTTTCCTTGGCGGATACTGCGTGCAACCATAGCACCATTGCACTCGTCTAAAAGCTTGACCGCCTAAGCGTGACAGCTGTGAGGTGATTTTGTCTCCTTTGGCGGCAGGGACTTTCTTTGGCGTCCAGGCCGTTTTCGGTTTGTTGACGGGTTCCTTGGGCTCCTCCGTGCAGCTGGCCATCTCCATGTCTAACTCCGGCGGTGCATGGGACAATTGCACCTCGGACACACGGAGTCAAGACATCCTGGAGAGAAGATCATCAGAAGACAAGCAGGTTTCAGACCTTTTCCAGGAAGCAAAGAAGTAAAAGAAGTAAAAGAAGTAAAAGAAACGGAACAACTTGAAGAGCGAGAGGCAGAACAAGTGCGAAAAATTCAAGAGACGTGGAAGCACTGAAAGAAAACGGGATTCTTCATCATACTATATTCATCTATATCCTTGTACAGGATGTACCGGTTTCCAACCAGGTCACGCAGACGCAATCACAAGGCATTTTTTCTTTGATCGCAGCTTAGGCAAGAAGTACATCAAGAATGGTTTCTCTGAGGATGTTGAGTCACTGGGCAAAATCAAGAGCCTGTGGTAACTGTGGTAACTGTGGTAACTGAGAATATCTTGTATGCGATACAGAGCATGAGATGGAGTTTCCGTGTGTTGAATGGCATAAAGATTCACGCAGCGCTATGTCGCTATGTCGTCCGATGTGGGGCAGCCTCTGCGGACGGGCAACCGGACACAGGACACAGGAAATGCTTTGCCAGTGACTGCCATGTTTGCCAGGCTGCGATACACCAAGAACCCTCAGACAGAAGAGGAGAAGAAGGCTGCACCAAAGGCACAGACAGAGTGGACTTCCGTGGACAGAGGACTTCAGTGGGAGAGTCGAAACCTGTCGAAACCTGTCGAAACCTGTCGAAACGGGCGTCGTTCGACTGACGAAATTGCAAGGCCAAGGAGGCGCACGACGCCGCAGTGCAGGGAGACACTGTGGGTGACCCCTTCAAGGACGGTGATACACACGCGTTGTTGCGTTGTCATCCAGTCCATCCAGTCCATCCAGTCCATCCAGTCCATCCAGTCCATCCAGTCCCCGGTGAACGTCCCCATGCGGTGAACGGACAACTTTCGTCAGGACACCTCTGGCCCTGCCCTGAACATTGTTATGAAGCTTCAGGCCGTAGTCGAAAGCATGAACCCAGTGAAAACATGTGAAAACAACAAAACAGCTAGTTCTAATCAGATGGAATCAGATCGAAATGGATGAAAGTAGTGCGTTTCGATGGACTTTTGTGATTTGTTCAACCTGGATTGCAAGGCCATTGTGTCTTTGGTTTTCGCTGCCTACTTTGCAGCAATCAACCGCGGGCACGGACTGATCTTTGTGCAGTAGGGTGAGTTGATCCTCATAGGTGCGGCCAATGTCAGTAGGCCCGTGCGGCCTTTTTTCTCCAAGGCCCTTGGCCTTGCAAAGCCCGAGTCGGGAGTTGCTTCATACAGAACTGGGTGTTTTCCGAGGGCCTTGGAATGAAGATAGCTCTCAACAGTTCTCAACGGGTCAATCAAAGGTTATATGGGAACATGAACCGAATTCCCCAGTGAACAGTAGAAAACATATGAAAACATAAGATCACCTCGGTCTCAGCTTGACACAGGCTATAATTTGAGCCCTGCTGCAGACCTAGTTCTTTCAAGCAATCCGCATGGCAATACAAAAAGACACAAGTGGGAGCATATTAGATAAAGATCAAAGAAAACCTATAGCCTATAGCCTTTTTTGCACTTTCTGAAGAATGAGCTGGGTCTGGTCGCACCAAAACTATCATAAACTATCCAAAATTGACCAAGTTTTCCAAGACAGATTTTTCGTGTGCCAGTGCGATCGCTAAAGGACCAGGACGGCACGGCTCCATACTCTCTTGAACCCAGTCCGGTGGTTGGCCGGAGCTGGTAGGTCTGGGGCAATCGAGTCCTCAGGTTGTCAGTGATCAGAACACAGAGAATCTTTGAGACTTTGAGATGATGAACTACAGGTCACCATTCAGACTATTCAGACAACCAGGAAACACGACATTGCAAAGTCTTCCCCAACAGAAAAGATATAGAATTGCAAGTTTTCTCAGCCCTTTCAGTGAGCTTGTTTTTCTTGGTGTGGCAGTTGGGATACCACAGAATTGTCGGAGGGCGCTTAAAACCTTCAAAACTGTGGTCCTGGAGCAAGAGGAATCTCTCTCCTTTGGCCCCAAGATTTGTGGAAAGTTGTCTGGACCCAACCAAAGCCTTCATGGAAGGACTGTCTTGATGCAGAGAGTCCTGAAGAGAATATCATCATTTTTGAGAAGCACAGCCGGTTTTTCAATTGTTCGCAATGAAATGACAATGATGCCAAACATTAAAAAAACATGTTCAGAATAATTCAGAACTTCTGATTGGAAAAGAAGAGTTGAAGGCTCTGACTTGGAGATTGACACGGTCAGAAACAGCTGATGGGCGTGACCGAAAATTGATTCACTACCGCGAAGAGCATGATGGTCATGATGCACACGGTGAGCAGAGAAAGCAACCGATCAAACCGATTGTAAGGATAGCAGATATGAGCAGATATGAACAGTATATGAGCAGATAGCAGGATAAGTTGCTCTAAGTTACTACTCGCAACTAGGTTGCATAGGGGGAATGCAGCTCCTGGAAGACGTGACAGCAATATCATGAGTGTCGTTACAAAAGCAGATTAGGCATGAATCAATGGCACAACGTGATCTTCTCAGCTCTCTAGCTCTGAGGTCTCTAAAGTATGATGGCATGAAGACAGCATTAAGATACCATTGGAATCCATTGGAGATATTGCAGAAGTGCAGTCTTTTGAGTCACTGATCAAGACTCTAGGTGACTTAAGATGCCTTTAGATGTCTTATGTCTAAAACATGTTTGACCTCCTGCAAGCGCTCGACATGTAGCCTTTTTGAAGCACATGAGCAGGTGAGGTGCGAGTATGCACAAAGCTGGACCCTTGCTGAGATACTTGCGATGCTATCTTTGCTATCAGAATCTTCAAACATTTTAAACAAAGGACAGCAAGCAATATATTACAATCACCATTTTCTTTGACGGAGGGCAACATTCTGCATCTCTGCATCTCTGCGTGTCCATTGGCATTTCGGATCAGATGATGTTTTTGTAGATCGGATCGTTTGATGCATTTCCGGGTTCGCTCCTAGCCGTCCTAGCCGTCCTAGCCTGGCCGTCCTAGCCTAGCAGGGCCTAGCCGCCTAGCCCATTATCATCCATTATCCCTGCCTTGACCGGGTCATGGGATGTTCATCGAGCAAAGCCGACATGCCTCCATTCAAGCCTACGAAGCCACAGCGATGTGATTCTGCACAATCTGCACATGGTTTCAACGTGTTCAATGTGGTCGCCTCAAGGGACGACCGCTTTGACCCTGACAAGCTTGAAGATCCAGTCTCCTCCTGGAATCTGAACTCCGTGCCTGAAGGATACCCGCGAGATAAGCTCTTGCCACCAGACCGCGAGCTGCACGAGAAGCACTTGAAAAGGCTCAATCGGTTTCTCAAAGATTTAGAGGACGCTCCCATCAAACTTGGAGAATCTCGCCGTTTTAGAGTGCGCAGTCCACATGTCCACCTCGCCCAGCTCAGAGCATCACAGAACATGCTCCATTTGAAGAGTTTTATCTTTATTTTATCTTTATAATTTATATTAATTTTGTAATCTTTAGATTTCTAGATTTTGCTCTTTGGATCAGCAGAGAATCGGCATGGTCACAGCTTCACAGAAAGCCCTAAAGGTGGTTTGACGAACAGGTTTTCAGACTCTGAAGAGCGCGCTGATCCATTGATATCCACTGCATCATCAAACAGACCATGTTTCTCACGACTTCATGTTGGAAAAGTTGCACGGCATGCCTCTCTTGGCAATAAAAACAGGGCTTTACCCCCGGAAAAAAAGATCTGATCATGATTTTTCATGGGACAAATCCACTATAAATAGCCATTTTCAATAGCTATTTTGACATAACCAGAGGGTATTTGTCTTGTAAACGCTCAAAAATTCCCGCCCACTGCACACATCGTCTGACGAACGGCATTTTTGCATGAGCGTCTCATGACATCTCATGACGGCAGTGTGATTTTGTGTGCGCGTAGAGAAAAGAAACGATATGAGCTATGGATCAATACTCATGGTTAATAACCATTAATAGGGGCTAGTCATCCAATGGTTCATAGGGATTTATAATAACCATTATTTTTGGATCCTTATTATGGATGGGATGACCATCAACCATATAGTGAGTATTGACCATGGCTCATATCAAATCACCGAACATGTTTTCTTCTCTGTATGTTTTGGGCCCACTGCTGTTTTGTGAGTGGCAGCATGTTTTTTTTCCTCTTCTCGGGGCAAGATTTGCCCCTTCAAAAAATGTTTGACTTCCAAGTTTCCATGACTGGCTCCTACAGCGACAACATCATGCAACATCTGTCTTCACAGGAAGCTGAAAAAAACTGCGAAAATTCTCTTCACTGTGAGTTTGTTGAGGAACGAGTCCAAGAAAAGCGAAGGATTCGAGAGGATGCAGCTGATGCAGCTGATGCAGCAGCTGCAGCTGATGCAGCCGACGCTGAGTGGGAAGGGATGCCCGAGATTAGCCTTTGATGCTTCGCGCATGGCGCAGCGGCGCATCGTGACCCGGACTCCACTCAGGCCCCCCTTTGGGGAAGGAATTGCCACTTACTAAGCTTGTGGAGGGACTGAAGATGTCAGAAATCTTCCAGTTATTGAATATGGGTATGGATCAATACCTATTATATAATACCATTTTTAGGGGAATGAACATCCATTTACCAGCTATTTTGATGTTCACCAGGGGTACCAGGGTTTTGACCCATACCCATGTCAGAAATCTTCCAGTTATTGAATATCATTGAACCACATCGAATCCATGCAACCATGGTTGTGGACCTTTGGCGGAGGAAACGATTTTCTTTGCTGATCGGAAGACAGTCGCTGATGAAGGCAGTTGCGGAAGAATCGTCGGCCATTTAATTTGCACACCGGTCGTGTCCGATATCGTTTGTTTCCGCTGAATTGTTTTTTTCGTAGTCGTGCAGGAATTTTCAGAAGAGTCATTTAAGATATCATTTGATGGGTTTTGGGTTTTGAACGGTTTGAGTCATTGACAGTCATTGTGTCTGAACTTAATCATTTCAGGGTTCCCTGCGTTGATTCTGTGAGAGTCTAAAGTTGTCCCGTTCTCAGGCATCCTGGCAGTCAATTGGTGAATGCTTCGGACCTGTACACTTTATGGAGACTTCATAGCTTTTCCATAGCTTTTCCCAGGTCTATGTTGTTTTTTTTGGGCATTCCATCAGTTGTGCCCTGTATTCTTACACTGATTGGTAAAGCCATTCAGTGTTTCGGTCCTTTTTATTGAATTTGGCTGGACGGCAGAGATCTAGCAGCTCCACTATCAACTTTGAATAACTTCGACCACGAACATTGACCACGAACATTGACCATTATGCACTCATATGAAGTCATTTGCATCTTCATTTGACATATCTTGAAATCATACATCATATAAACTCGTAGTATGTTTAACATGGTGATCTCCAGCCATGTTGCAGTTTTTTTGGTGTTTTCAAAATATCCCAGATCATGCCAAGTCCCTTAGCTGCCAGATTAAGCAACCTGTTTGAGTGTAGTTGAAGCTGTTTGCTGTTTCAGGAAGAATTCTTGCAGCGCGGAAAGAGAGTTTCCAACTTTTAGAAGGCCATTGAGACATACATGACATATCATGACATACTGCCACTGAATAAAGAGAAGTACAACCAAACATGTGCACGGTCAAAGTTCTACATCGGTTATAGACTTAAACGCACCCTGCCTTTCGAACAAATGCCCCTTTGAATGCTCTTGGGAACTCCGGCGAAGCTAGCTTGCTAGTTTTTGATAGCGTGCGTCGCAGTTAAAATGCCTTGTCTTGCGCAAACAAGAGACGCATGCCTAAATCTTTTCTTGCATCTTCGTGCTTCAAATGGTGAAGTCCAAATCAGAAGCCCTCTCTAGAAACATCTAGAAACTATGTGCCGGAGCATGCGATTTGGCTCCATCAGTTCTGAGATAACTTGAGCAGATTCGCCAGCTATCGTATTGCTCTTCCATGGGATGTTCCGCGAGCCAACCACAGCAACGCCCTATGGCAAGTTGCTGGTCAACACTGCTTTGATGCCGCCGTAGCAAAGAAGCAAATTGACAAAGTCGAGGAGGAGGCGATCGGGCAAAACACAGCTCCTTAGCAACTCTTCGCAGGCAGGACCTTGAAGCCTTGAAGGTTGCAGATGCTTTGGCCAGAATGAATGGTTTGAACGGTTTGAACCGTTACATTTTAGCATTGTTGCACCACCCTGCACTTGTTTTGCAACTGGTGAAAGGGAGAGTTGAAGTCATGGTTTAGTAACAAGACGTTTACATACATGTGCATCTTTGATGACACTTTATGATGCTCTTTCTAATGATGCTCACTTTTTGTTAATCTTCCATTCTGCTCTCCTTTCGTAGACTCAATCTTTTAAGCTACGATGACACCAAGTGTCGCCGGGCTGTCTTGTCTCTAAGTAAGACCAGGATTTTTTTGGCAGCACATTGTCGAAGCCGCTGGTACTACTTACATCTCGAAAATGCAGTGCAGATCGAGTTTGTGTGTATGTGTCCAGGCGACGAAATACATCTTCTTTCTTTATGTCAGATTTGGCATTTACAGAATGCTACAGCAGCACAAATCCATGTTTAATTGTCCAATTTTTCGACGGTCTGCTGTACACAAATGTTTGTGTACAGCAGACTGTCGAAAAATTGGACAATTTCCCGAGCCACTTTGGGGGGATGATACTGGAAAAAAGAGTAGGTTTGCTGATTTTTTTTTTTAAAGGAACATTTTGGGTCAGAAACTTAAGTTCTTTTCTCTCAGTAGTTTTTTTTTGACGCTCATGGGTGCTGTTGTGAGTGCAGGTTCAAGTTTCAGATATGAGCGTGCTATGTGAGACTTGAATGAAGATCAGGTAGCTGCAAGTGCATGAGTGTAGAAGCCAGCGAGGCCATTTCCGCAATGGGCTGTGCATCAAGCACGCCACCAAAAACTATGAAACCTTCGCCTGCATGTAACGCCAAGTACATGACAAGCATATGGGTATGGATCAATACCTATAGATACCATTTTTAGTGGGATGAACATCCATTTACCAGCTATTTTGGGGTTCACTAGGTACCAGGGTTTTGACCCATCCCCATATGAAGAAGCTGAAGAAATTCCGGGAATTGATGATATTGATGAATAATTCACAGTCTCCGGTGAACTTGGCTGAAGTTGACAGGAAGTTAGAAGCAGAAGTAGAAGTCAAACGTTTGTCAAACTGTCAAAATTGTGACTCTCCGGGAGGCTCTGCAGCAACTGTGGAGGTGGCTCTTTGAGATGCAATTCTCACGCATTCTCAGTGCAGCAGTGAGAAGCATCACCGCTGGCCCAATCCGTTTTTCCTCGCTTCGGGCAACTCTTTGTGCCGTCCAAAAAGCGATGTGTTCTCTGTGTCCATTCTGCATGTTAAGATTTTGAAGTCGCCAAAGGCAACAGACAATTTGATGATTTCGATGTGCCAAACAGATTGCTTTACTCGTGAAAAAAACGCGCCATTTGGAGGTTCACCCTTTTTGCCGGCAGCAATCTGAAAGCTGACATGACACTCAAAATACTCACGTGACATCTCTAGACTCTTTCTTTGAGCCACGTGGCCTACTATGACTTGGCCGGTCACAATGATGGCTTCCTAGGGTTGAATCTGAGAGGGTTTCACTGCACTCTGCAGAACCTGGTGCTCAGTGAAGGTCTCGCTGAACTGTTCGAATTCATGTCAAAGCACTACCAAGGTTTGTCAGGCTATATCCCACTTTGGGAAGCCTCATTTGCACTTTCTCATGGTGATTCAGCTTTTGTAAAGGGCACAATTTGCTGAAAAAAGTAAGCAAACCACTGACAACTCGCTTCCAAACAAATCCAAAGACATCCAAAAACAAATAGATTTTGGTAGCGTTACCAGCGCTCACGCTGTGCGAATCCATGCCCCATCCTTGCTCTGTTTTGGCTCGATCCGCTGATTGAATCAGATCTTGTTGCTGCAGGAAGCTAAGGCTATGGAAAATCACCATTTTTCATGGGAAAACTCACTATAAATCACCATTTTCAATAGCTATGTAAAATTACCATGAATGTTTGATTTGAGACCCAGCGAGCCTATTAGGACCTAGCCCAATATTGACCCAATATTGACTGGAAGATCTGGAAGACATGTTGTGAACGCAATAAAATAATCACAAAAACCAAACCATATTGAAACATTGCGCGGATGATATCGGAAAATCGCGGGCTTTCCCTTCGGAGTTTCAAGTGGTGGCAGTGCATCATGTGTGTTCTTTTTTCTTTAGGTTTAAGACTCAAACCGTTTGCAACCAACAAATGTACACCTTTGACTATGCCGTCTCCTGCCCCTGTGCCTGGGAAGTGTGGTGCCTAGTATTCTTGACATGTTGAATTTTCTGACTTCGTCAACGGTCAGTGTCAAACGCGGGGGGCAAGTCTTCATTTGGCTTTGGTTTTGAAGTCATCCTTGGTCATTTGCTTAGTCATTAGCAAGTTTTTCAGCAATGATGAAGCCAAGGATGATTCAATGTTGCTGGATGATATTATATAGTCAAAAGGTCTAATAATAATATCATCTAATGTCTAATTGCACATAGCCAAGGTTGCTGGATGTCTTCCTTTTTCCTGTTCCCAAACCGTGTGGTCCTCAGGGTGTGATGACTGCTGGAATCCAAGCCTTCCATCTAATGATATCCAATGTCTATGTGCATTTCATATGAGTAGTATATGTAGTACCCCGGCAAGCCAGAGGCGGAAGTTTCAGGAGGGACCTAGGCCTATCACGTGACATCTCTTGAACCAGGCCATCTCTTGGCACATTTCTTTCTCTCAACTCTGACGTCTCAGGATCTCTCAGGTAAGCAAAAAAGGCATCATCTCTTTCCCTTGACATCCCTTTGTCTCGGCACTACTCTACCCTCGGCACTACTCTTCTCTGCTCTTGGAAAAAATCTGCTCTTCTTAAACCATCTTAAACCCCCGTAACGCGGAAGTTTTTCTGCCAAACTTTCGAGAAAAGAAGACTTGTTTGCCCCAGCAACAATTCCTGTCTCAGCCGAACTGATTCTGGTGACTTCCCAATATTGTCCGATTTGACCCGGCTGAAGTGAGACCAGTTTCTAGGACCTACAGTTGCGAAAGCTATCCAGGTGCGGAAGTTATTTTTACCATCGCAGATTGAGACTGAGAAACAGGATGAAACAGGACGGTACAGTGTTCAAGGGTAGAAGTCCGCACGTTACATGGTGAAATATGGTGAACTTGTGACTTTCTTAGGGAATGTCCTTTGACATATTTTGACATGAAGTATGTGCTGAAAGGGTGTACGTCGTGTTCACCACCAGACGGAAACGCCTGCTTTTTGGACCTCAACGGAGCAGGCGAGTTGGTTTGGATTCCACGCAGAATACATCCAGGCAACTCGGCGCCATGTTGTGGGTGTCCGAGCGGGAAAAAACAGGGGCTTCTTTTCTGGAAATGGCTGAAATCGAGAAACTAACCATTTTTTTACCCGGCCTGGTTATGACTAACATAGCCATGGTATAGATGGCCCATAGAAATAGATGGTTTACCTATTAAAAATGGTGATTTCCCATGGCTATGTTAAATAACCAGATGGTAAATTGTTTCTGTTCATGGCAACTTGATCTGTTCAAAAGCAAAAACCAAAAGCGCTCAGATGCTGCCTCTGGATCACAAGCACCAGCCGCAGGATCGCAGGCCTGGGTATGCCGTTTCACATAAATTGCATCAGCCGTTTCACAAGTTGGACTCACTTAGACTAAGGCCACATTTTTTACCGAATTGCAATGAAATTACAATGGCAAAACCTGTTTTTTCTTTCACAAGTTAGTATAGTTAATGCAACTTCTATGGGGACTGGGCGCTGATTGCTTCCACTTTGTTTTGGCTGCAAGAATGCAGTCTTTGTGGTGCTTGTTCCTCACAAGTTCAGAAAACCTTCACATAAATAGACCAAATGACCAAAGAATCATCCAATCTCAACCTTTCAGCCATTCTGGCATCAGATGATTCCATGCCTGCTGAACCTGTAAGAGTGAAAGCCCCAGATCATTTGCTGCAACTTTTTTTTTGGTGCTTGTGGAAAGCCAAGCAAACGTGGTCAGCCGTAATCATTCACAATTTGCATCGCTTGTGCTTGAAGTCTCATTTTTGAGTTTGTACCCTCTGGTAATTTAACATAGCTATTGAAAATTGCCATTTATAGTGAGTTTTCCCATTAAGAATGGTGATTTTCCATAGTTTTTTGTATGTTTACCAGAGGGTATCTCCTTTGTTTCTCACGCTTTCTCCATGGCACGTTAAAACCTTCAT